ATATCCTGCTACTCGGGACCCCTCATGTATGTACGAACTTCCGTCTGTGAACCATATGTAGGAGGGCTTAGATAAGGGTCCTTCCTGAATATGTACGGGGCAGGGAAGTAGGGACTCAAGGACCTCAACACAGTTATGGATTGGCGTGTCAGTGGGAGAGGAAGGAAGTAGTGAGGCTGGGTGAAGAGGCGCGCAGGCTTGGAAGGAGATGAAAGGGTCTTGGATAAAGAAGACTAGAAGGGAAAGAACCTGACCGGGAGGGAGTGTTTTGAGGCCCTTATATCCTAGGAGGTGATGTAGATGATGGGGGGAAGTTACAGTGATAGGTGCTCCAAATGTGAGTTTTTTTGATTCGCACACCAGTAAGTGGGTGGCTGATAGAGCCCGCAGGCACGGGGCCCATCCCTGGACTGTGTGGTCGAGTTGTTTTGAAAGATAGGCTACGGGGGCAAATGTTTGTCTGCTAAATTCACCTAGGACTCCTAAGGCTGCACCCTTATTTTCGTGGACGTATAGGGTGAAGGGCCGGAGGATATCAGGTAGTTGTAGGGCAGGGGCCTGGAGGAGAGCCTGGTGGAGGGCAGTAAAAGGCTGTTTAACGGATGAGAGGGAGAGTAAGGGTTCCTTTGGGTCGCCTTTAGTGAGGTTGTAGAGTGGCTTGACGAGAAGGGCGAAATTGGGAGTCCAGGCTCAGAAGTAGCCCGCTAATCCCCAAAATGACTGGATTTCCTCTTTTGTCTTTGGTGTTTGGAGGGATTGAATAATGGCTTTACAGTTGGTTGTTATGGCCTTTTGTTGGTGTGAGATGGCGACTCCAAGGTAGGTGACCTGTGTTTTGAACAATTGAGCCTTTTGGGGGAAGGCTTGGTATCCGTTTTCTGCTAGAAAGTTAAGGAGTAGGGCTGTGTTGTTGTAAGAGTCTGTAAGAGAGGGGCTACATAAGAGGAGATCATCTACATATTGAAGTAGAGTGGATTTTGAGAGTGATAGGAGTGTGAGGTCTGCTGCCAGTGCCTGACCGAAGAGGTGAGGACTATCTCGAAATCCCTGTGGGAGGACTGTCCATGTGAGTTGTTGGGAGTGGCGGGAAACGGGGTCAGTCCAGGTAAAGGCAAAAATGTCTTGGGAGTCAGCTGCCAAGGGAATGGTGAAGAATGAGTCTTTGAGGTCTATGACTGAAAAATAAGTTGCCGTTGGAGGAATGGTGGACAGGATGGTATAGGGGTTGGGGACTAGTGAGTGGATGGGGAGAATGACTGCGTTTATTTGTCGGAGGTCTTGGACGAGCTGGTAGGTTCCATCGGGTTTTATGGCAGCCAAAATGGGAGTATTGTAAGGCGAGTTGGTGGGTCTCAAATACCCCTTCTGTAGCAGGGTTTTTATGACAGGTTGTAGACCTAGCAGACTGGCCCTGGGGAGGGGGTATTGTGGCTGACTAGGGTAGGCGGATGGGTTTTTTTAATTGGATGTGAACGGGCAGGTATTGGGCTAATGAAGGGGTGTTTATGCCCCAAAGCAGCAGGTTAACCATCGAGGCAAGTGGGGGGGAGAGTGAGGCAGGTTGTGGGTAGGGGGATGTGGGGGTAGAGGCTAAGAGGAGGAGTAAGGAAGTTGTTGGGGATGGGTTAGTGAGGGCAGCGCTGGGGTTAAAAGTAATGGATGCCTGAAATTTAGCCAAGATGTCCCTTCCCATAAGGGGTACGGGGCATTGAGGCATGACCAAGAAGGAGTGGGTAAATGGGATATTAGCAAATATGCATGTTAGCATAGGAATTATGTGTGGGAT